GGCTGCACACTTGGTCCTTCACAGAACGGTTTTCAGTATAAAATCACAAAAAATGCTTAACAAAGTCACAAACTAAAGCAACACATACACACCCATTTCCGCCAATTCCATGTACAGTAATCCATCACCTTCATCTGCCATTCCTCCAGAGTGGGTAAATCCTGTGTCTTCCTCTGATCCGGAAACTTTGGCCCCTAAACCTGCTCCTGTAGGGCGATGCTGAGCTTTACTTGCTGGTGAGAGACATTCGTCCACTCTGCACATGCTCAGAGGAACCTTCTCTTTAAAAAAATCATTTCTTGCATTTCTACCCCACTTTTTTTCTCCAAGGAGCGCAAAGCAGTTTGCACGTTTCTCCTCCCGCTCCTCATTTACACCCCACAACGACCTTGCGAGGTAGTTTAGCCTGAGTAAAGGCAGTGACTGGCCCAAGGCCAGTGAATTTTGTGGTTCAGGGGACTTGAAGCCTGATCTCGCCCAGGTCTCAGGCCAAAAAGTAGACCTCAGTTAGGCATGTCCGTTAATTTCAATTAATTAATTTCATTATTTCCGTACAGGACAGAATTCACCATAATTAAACATGACAAGTAAATATTGGGTTGTGACTGCTGGCAAATTGTAGACGCAACCACCTTCCTTCCTTCCTTCCTTCCTTCCTTCCTTCCTTCCTTCCTTCCTTCCTTTCTCTCTCTCTCTCTTTTAAAAAAACATTAATTTTATTTCACTTAATAATACGCATGTACATACAACACAAAGCATTAGGTTCAAAAATCAAAACTATATTATTATTATTATTATTTCCCTTTAATTCTATACACACAGATTTATATTAAATCCTTAATGAATCACTTTGCATAGACAAAGATATAAATATTTAGCTTTTATAAGATCGGCATAAATACAATCAAACATTTGCCATGAAAAGGTGTAAGATAATTAAGCTTTTAGCAAATAATTCCAGATTATCCTCGCTCTCATTTTTTGCAAAGCTTTTGGTTGTTGGTTTTTTTAAAAAAAAATCATTTTATAATGTGTATAGAAGGGCTATAACAACAGACTGAAATTAAAAGCTGGAAAACCAAAACTACAAAATAGGCATGAGTGCAGTCGCTCATGGGTTACGATAACAAAACCCAAGTGAAGAATATCTGATTATAAACCAGATTAAGTTGCTGGGGCAGTGCAGCATAGTGGTTAGAGCGTCTGCCTAGGACCTGGATGAGACTTGGGTTCAAATCACCCTGAAGCTCACTGGGTGACGTTGGGCCCAGTCAGCCTGACCTCCCTCGCAGGGTTGTTGTGGAGGTTAAATGAGAAAGAGCCAGAATAGAGCCCCATACAGAAAACTCCTTGCAGAAAACGCTGGGATGTAAATGCAATTATTAATGACAGCAATATAATAGAACTGACGTTTTGCTGCCTCTTTTCGAAATCACTGTGGCTTTTTTCTTCCTACCTTAGTTTAGCTGGCAGTGCCATCTGTCCCTAGCTTTGTCTACTCGGAAGTAAGCCCCACTGAATCCCAAGGGAGCTTGCTCCCAGGGTAACTAGGGGGACCTTACTCTGCAAGCAACGCTGAGCTTTTGCAGCGGGGATCGGAGCCGATTGCCAGCAGTCTGCAGACCCTCCAAATGCCCCTATTTTCCCGGGACAGTCCTGGGTCGACAGAAGCAGGGCCTGATTCTGTAGGGCCATAAGGAACCCCCCCCCTCAACTCCTACAATTCAGGTCTGATGAGGCCCTAAGGTACTGAAGGCAACGGGGACCTTTATATGTCCAGCTGTCCTTTGTCAACAAAAAATTGTCCCATTTTTTGTGTTGAATATATGCTGTATAGTCATTTAGAGACCTAATAGGTCCATACACGGGACGTGGGTGGCGCTGTGGGTTAAACCACAGAGCCTAGGATTTGCTGATCAGAAGGTCGGCGGTTCAAATCCCCGCGACGGGGTGAGCTCCCGTTGCTCGGTCCCTGCTCCTGCCAACCTAGCAGTTCGAAAGCACATCAAAGTGTGATTAGATAAATAAGTACCGCTCTGGCGGGAAGGTAAACGGTGTTTCCATGCGCTGCTCTGGTTGCCAGAAGCGTCTTAGTCATGCTGGCCACATGACCCAGAAGCTGTACGCCGGCTCCCTCGGCCAATAAAGCGAGATGAGCGCCCCAACCCCAGAGTCGGTCATGACTGGACCTAATGGTCAGGGGTCCCTTTACCTTTACGTCCATACTCAACACAAAACACTGTATGTCAGTTTTATTTTGTTTGTTTTTTATATTTTGGAAATGTACATCCAGGGTGTTTTTTTCCCCCTTTAAATTTTTTTGGGGGCCCCCAAGAGAGTGGGGCCCTAAACTAGAGCTTGTTTAGCTTACACGTAAATCCGGCAAAGGACAGAAACCATCCCCATTTTTTATTTGATCCCGCAATGTCCCGCTTGCCCTTTCGGACGTCCCTGTTCCCATCGGAAAAACATTGGGACTTTTTATAAAAAACAGCACTTTGCAAAAGCTGTTCTACCAGGCCTGGAGGCAGGAATGAACCTCAGCTGCTGGAGAGAGGGGGGGGAAAAGCCATATTTGGCTGCTTCCATCTAGATCAGGCCTGTCTCCCATTCCGCTGAGTAATGGAGTCAAAGGCACATGTCTCTGCCTATTCCCCTCTGGCCCTTTAAAAAAAAATTAAATTAAATTACACTCGCCTCGCCCAGCGGCTGAACAGGTGCTGGCTGCCAGGCCTCCTGCCGATTGACAGGGTGCAGAGGTTGTCAAGGCAGCCGCAGAGGCCCCCACCCCCTTCCTATTTCGGGAAGGGGGCAGTAAGAAGCCTGGGTGGCTTTTAAAAATAAATAAATGAATGTACCGTGCCATATTAGACGCAAAAATAACTTGTTTTGATGAATCGGAAGAGCCTCAAAAAGATCCCACTGTGCACATGGATTGACAATATGGACAGACTAGTTCTGGGCTGCATCAATAGGAGTATAGCATCTAGATCAAGGGAAGTACGAGTGCCACTGTATTCTGCTCTGGTCAGACCTCACCTGGAGTACTGTGTCCAGTTCTGGGCACCACAGTTCAAGAAGGACACTGACAAACTGGAACGTGTCCAGAGGAGGGCAACCAAAATGGTCAAAGGCCTGGAAACGATGCCTTATGAGGAACGGCTAAGGGAGCTGGGCATGTTTAGCCTGGAGAAGAGGAGGTAAGGGGTGATATGATAGCCATGTTCAAATATATAAAAGGATGTCATATAGAGGAGGGAGAAAGGTTGTTTTCTGCTGCTCCAGAGAAGCGGACACGGAGCAATGGATCCAAACTACAAGAAAGAAGATTCCACCTCAACATAGGAAGAACTTCCTGACAGTAAGAGCTGTTCGACAGTGGAATTTGCTGCCAAGGAGTGTGGTGGAGTCTCCTCCTTTGGAGGTCTTTAAGCAGAGGCTTGACAACCATATGTCAGGAGTGCTCTGATGGTGTTTCCTGCTTGGCAGGGGGTCGGACTCGATGGCCCTTGTGGTCTCTTCCAACTCTATGATTCTATGATTCTAGTTACATGCGAACAAATTGCATATCAAGAATGGAGAAATATGAAGAAATCTGGAAGGAATATTTAAGCAATAAGGCATTAAAATGGTGTGAGTTAGGGGGAGGAGAGGTGGGGAAATA